AGCGGGTCTCTTTACTATTTTGGACTTTGATTTCCTCATGCAAGAAATGAGAGTGCATAGGTGGGGTCTCCATGGGAAATAGCAAGCACACAAACTAGCTAATTAAAGGAGAGTTTAGCCAAGGGTCTACTGCAGGGTGAACAGAGAGTAGGGGAACCACAGGAAAAGTGGGGGAGTTGGTACTGGGGTGGCAGGGTGGGAAATGCAGGAGCACCTTCCAGGCCAGGCCTCAAGGGAGCCAGCCCCTGATGGGAACTGGGTCCAGGGACACTGCTGGTCCTTAGTGACAGCCTGGGATCTCCCTCTCCTGCCTCCCTCGACTCTCCTGCTGGAGAAACAGACCAACATGATGTATATATGCATGTATCTCATCAAGAGAGAAAGGGAGGAGGGAGGGAGGATGGGAAAGAGAGAGGGAAGGGGAAAGGGAAGGAGGGCGGTTTTATTAGGAATTGACTCACACAATTGTGGAGGTTTGGTGGGTTCAAAATCTGATGGGAGAGGCCGACAGACTGGAGGCTTGAGAAAGAAACAGAATCTAAATCTCAAGGCCACCTGCTGCAGGATGCCCCCTTGCTCAGGGATGGTCTTTTGTTCCAGTCACGCCTTCCACTGACAGAGGAGACCCACCACGTTCCAGAGGGCAATCTGCCCCTATAAAGTCCACTGATTCGGATGATCATCTCATCCAAAAACATCCTCACAGAAACATGCAGAATAATGCTTGACCAAATATCTGGGCACCACGGCCCCACCAATCTGACATACAATTTTGTGTGTGGCACCAAAAGAAGCCAGAATGCAAGGGAGGTTGGGATGCACCCCGCCCGGGTCCACCTCCCTGGCATGGGGCAGGGAGGAGGAACACGAGAAGGGGGCTGGAGAAGCCTGCTTCAAGAAGAATGAGGCACCAAGTCAGAGCTCGCATCCGCCAGCTCTGCCATCTGCCCTCATTCAGGGTTTTGTTTGCCCTTTCCACGAGTGTTACATTATTAATTGGTTGTTATCTTTACATTTCAGGAGACTTCACATACACAAAAAAAATCTGTATTTCTACTTCTCTAGGAAAAGAAATCTAGCAATATGAGACCCTCACCATCACTTGGCAACAAATGTATAGAACTGAGTAGTTTGTGGGGGAAACTTAAGTTAGAGCATGAATTCTCTCCCTGGCCGCAGTCTCCAGCACTCCTTAACGCATGACACAGGCTCTCATCTTTCAACTCTGTCACCTTCTTGGCCTGTGAAGGTAACTGAATCTGCCTCCTGCACCACATGATGGGAATGTCCATTTCAGCATCAGTGGCCACTGACCTAATGATTCAGAAACCTAGAGCAGTGGCACAGCCCAATAAAACTTTCTGTAATGATGGAAATCATCTATGTCTGCCTCGCCTAACACAATGGTCACTTACTATGTGTGAACAGCTGTGGTGTGGTTAGTCTGAATGAAGATTTGCTGTAAGTATAAAGCACACACCAGATGTCAAAAATGTAGTATGAAAAAATGAATGCAAAATATCCCATTCATAATTTTTATATTATTTACATGTTGAAAAGATATTTTGGATATATTAGATTGGATGAAATGTTTTAGTAAAATCAGTTTCAGTTTCTTCTGTGGCTACTAGCAAAGTTTAAGTGACGTCTACGGCTCATATGGGTGACTCCCATTCTGTCCCTGCTAGACAGCACTGTTGTATGGTCAGGCTTTCTGCGTCCCCTGGACAGTGGAATGTTCCATACCCACAGCCTGAAGGGTTCGATAACTCCAGTACTCCATGGACCTCTGCTTCCCATCCTGGACCAAGCTCCCCAGTCAGATCTGAAGGCTCACCGCTTCCGCTTCTTCCTCTTCCTCTTCTGTCTTATGGCTCTGAATCCTCCACCCACAAATTCCCCTCAACAAAGTGATTCTATTTTTGGTGATTCAGAAGCCCCCTCCGGATGCTGTGGGCCTTGAGGTCAAGCCTGCCTTACATAGACAGAGGTGACTGCCTACGTGTGTTGAGAAAAGCCAAAAATATCTTGTGCTCTTGCCCTCCTTGAGCCCCCAGCCTCTCAAATCTGATGCACCTAGCTGCAGCCTTCTGGAGATGACCTGCATGGTCCTATCAGCTCCCTGGTGCCAGTGCAGAGACTGGGAAACGCTGGCAAGTGTCTTCTAGGACTGTTCCCTTCTGGCCAGCAGAGGGTCCTGAAGTCCCTGCGTGGTGGGATCCAGGCTAGAGTGGCCTTGTGGGCATCACAGAGGCCTGGACAATCAAGACTGAGCAGCCTCAAGCTTACTTAGGCAGACCTGTCAGCCCAGGTAGGAGGGAGCGGGGCATGCACATTTATCTGTTGCTTACTGAACACTCTCCATGAATTATTTCATTGAGTCCTCAAACCCCATAGGAAGTAGGTGCCATATCCCTTCATTATAGCAAAAGATGCACAACTACAGAGAGGGACTGCATCTTGCCCAAGGACACACAGCACAGTAAGTGGCCTTGCTGTTATCTGAGTTCAGATCTGCAGCCTTTAGCCCAGATGCTGCTGTTTTGAGAACCTTCTAGAGAACTAGACAGTAGGCCCGACTGAAGCCTTCTCAAGTTGTCTGTGGACGTCCTCATGCTGGCTGTGGCCACAGTCCTGTTAAGATAGTAGTCTTGGCTGGACGTGGTGGCTCAAGCCTGTAATCCCAGCACTTTGGGAGGCCAAGGCGAGAGGATTGCCTGAGACCAGGGGTTCGAGACCAGCCTGGGCAACTTGGCGAACCCTCATCTCTACAATAAATGAATTTTAAAATATTAGCCAGGTGTGGTGGTTCATGCCTGTAGTTCCAGTTACTTGGAAGGCTGAGGCAGAAAGATTGCCCGAGTCCAGCAGGTCGAGGCTGTAGTGGCCATGAGTGTGCCACTGCATTCCAGCCTGGGCAACAGAGTGGGACTCCAACTCAAAAAAAAAAAAAAAAGAGAGTAGTATTTCATTTTTTTTAAATGCTGGCTCTAAACAAGCACTAGCATCTTTGGACAAAGTGGAATCTGGTAATGTGGGACATCACTATCAAGGGAGCTTTGGGTCTGGGCTGGAGCTAAGTAACAGCTGCCCCTTCGAGAGGGTGTGGCCTCTGCAGCGTGCCACTGTTCACATCAGATCTGCTTTGCTCCTGACCTTTGCGGCCAGCCTCTGGGGGCACACGAGTTTGCTCCTCCAGGTCTGCTTCATGTGCTTAGATCCTTGGTGACCTGGCCTGGCTTCCTGGAGGGGCTCATGGTCTGGGAAGAGAGCTTGGCCCCCTGAGGGTTCTGGCCACAGGTGGCTCATTCAATTGCAGTGTGACTATGAGAATGCCACTTCCCGTCTTGGGCCACAGGACACTCCCCTTCAGGTCTGAGCCAGTGGCCCAGGCAACAACATGTCTTTATAAGGGAAAATGATGGACAGTCTGGAGTACCACCTCGCAGTGCCCCCTACTGGTCCATCCCGCAGGATGAGGGACTGGGGGGCTCAGGAGGGGTCTCCTGGGGGAGGAAGGCCTGCTGGCAGGGATGGGGTGCAGAGATACTGGGGCAGATGTGTCTGTGTTCCAGGTAGACAGTGGCTTTCAGAACAGCCTGGAAAGAGCCCAGGAGAGGGTGTGTACAGAGAATCTGCATGTATTGAGTACCTACTATGTGCATACTGGATGCACTACAAAGTAATCATGGGGTCTGTGAACGATCCTCTCCAAATGCATATAGTCCAGTGGCTAACACATCAACTCGGGTTGGACTTCTGGGCAGAAACCATGACTTTACCATTAATAGCTGAGTGGCGAACATTTGTATACCTAACCCTGAACTGTATCCCACATCTTTAAAATAAAATAAAATAAAAGAGGAAAAAAATAGTTGAGTGGCTTGGTTAGTAATTTAGATCTCTGGGACTCAGTTTTCTGACCTGAAGAATGGAGATAACGTCCCTCCCTACCCCAAAGGGATGTTGAAGGTAAGTGCTTGGTGAATTTGACCAGACACTGTTTAGAAGAGCATCTGATACACAGTAAGTGCTCAATAAATGTTAACTGTTATTCTCATTAATCTTTTTTTTTTGAGTCAAGATCTCACTCTGTTGTCCAATGCAGTGGCATGATCACAACTCACCACAGCCTCAACCTCCTGGACTCAAGCGATCCTTCTGTCTCAGCCTCCTAAGTAGCTGGGACTATAGGTGTGCACCACCACACTTGGCTAATTTTTTAATTTTTGGTAGAGATGAGGGTTCACTATGGATGCTCAGGCTGGTCTTGAACTCCTGGCCTCAAGCTATCCTCCCAGCTAGTCCTCACAAAGTGCTGGGATTACAGGCGTGACCCACCAAGCCCAGCTCCCGTTCATCTTTTTTTTAAGAGGAAGAAACTGAGATTGAGAAGGATGAGGTCACCTGACCAAGGTCACACAACTAAGGAGAGGCAGAGCTGGCATTTGAAGCCGTGCCCAAGTCAGGTTAAAGACAGGAAGAAAGCTGGAGAGGGAGACCAGAGACATTGCTCCTTGGTCTTCAGAGGTCCAGTTGTCTCCTGTGGGTTCCTGCCTGATAAGAGTCAGGGATCGGACTCCCCTTGGGACACATAAACATGGAGAGGGAGGAAGAGGGGAGAGAAGAGTTCAAGTCTGGCACTGTCATTAAAAAGCTGTAAGTTTTTTCTGAGCCTCAGTTTCCTGCTCTGTAAAATGGGGCTAATTCTTCTTTATGCTACCGGGATTAGATCTGTTGCTTGGAAAAGGCTCTCTTTCTCTCCTCCCACACCTTCTACCCACTCCTGCCCACGGGGAGAGGAGAGGATGAGGCAGCTGGCCCCACCCTCTGGGAGGTGGGCCCCAAGTAGGGCGGAACAAGGCAACCAGGAGGGCTTCATTAAAGTGTGGAAAAGCAGAAGTGATAGGGTTTCCCAAGTCCCAGCAATTCCCCCACTTCCTCTCCACCTGCCACGGCTGCCAGAGACGGCTGCCAGAGACGGCTGCCATTGAGGGAGCATGAGGGGTCTCCGTGGAGCACCTGAGAACCTTGCTGGGACCAGGTAGGTCTGGGGACTTTGGACACTGAGACACAGGCGAGGAAATAGTCAGCAGTCAGGTATGATGGGCCTGAGCCCATTTCTTAAGCTCTGCCATGGCCGGGTGACCCTTAGGTAAATCCATGCCCCTCTGAACCTCCATTTTTCCATCTGTGAAATGGGAGTGATAATAATGTCTGTGGGACTGTTGCCAGACCTGAATGAGAAATCACATGCTTGGGACTTGGCATGTGCTTGGCTGAAAGTAAGCACCCAACAAGCTGCAGCTGATTTCCTTGTCAGTTACACCCAGCCCAGGACTTGTCACCCAGCAGGCCTTGGTACTAGCTTCCAATCCTTAAAATGATGTTTATTGTTAGCTATGATTCCAAAAGCTACTGTGCTCCAAATACTAATTATATAGGAGGGGGGTTGTTTAGTCCCAAATTCAAGAGTCTCCAGGACTGGAAAGGGGATGCGCCCGTGAGGCCATCTGGGGCCATACATCCATGATGGGTGAGCACAGTCTGCAGGGGGGCTCCCCTGTCAAAGTGGGTAGTGGATACTCAGACCCAGCCGCCTGCTGCAAAGGTGGGAACTCTAACCCAGATCTTCTTTTCCCAGAAAAGCTGGAAATTCAGATCTTAATGTGAAACTTCCTTATTTCCAAAAGGGGGCAGGATGCGCGCACACACACACACACACACACACACACACACACACACTCTCTCTCTCTCTCTCTCTCTCTCTCTCTCTCTCTCACACACACACACACACACACACACACACACACACACAGTCAAAATAAGGTGTATCTTCACACTGGATTCAGCCCTCAGGGTCCCAGGATTGTGACCTCCATTCTAGTCCCACAGACCTCACTGAGTCCCAGCTTCCCACTGTGTTCCAGTACTTCCAACTCCCCATTTCCTGAAAGTGCTGGTCAGAGCACAGAGCCTTTGTGCATGCTGTTCCTTCTGTCGGGGGTGCCCAACCTCTCTTCCACCTAAAAGCTGATACTTGTCCTTCCATCTCCAGCTGGAATGTCACCTTTCCTCTTCCAAGAAGGCTTCCAGACTCTCCCAAGTAAAATGTAGTCACTCTCCCCCTACCTCACCCGAGTCCAGGCCCAGGTGTCCCCTTCTGAGGGTTCTTTTTAATGAACTTAAAGTGTAATGACCTATTTAAGTCTCCTCAATTAGGCTGTGAACTCCTCCAGTATATGAACCATGACTTAATTTTCTTGGCATTCACAAGCCTGGCACAGAAGAGAATCCAGTGAACATTGTCATCCTCATTAGCATAATCATACAATCAGCATGATAATAAGTAGACCAATTTTATAGGGTTCTTCTTCCGTGTCAGATCCTGTGTAAAGTGCTTTAACACATTCTTTCATTTTATTATCACAAAAACCCTGTGACAAAGATATTTGTTGTTTATTTTGCAAGTGACATTCATCTCATACTGCCTTAAGAAAAATGGACATTTTTGAGCTTGTGGTCCTGTATAGATCTGGGCTTCAGGCATAACTGGATCCAGGGACTCAAGCAATACCATTGGAACTCTCTATCCCTGTTTTTGAGCTCTGCCTTCTTGTGTTGCCTTCCCCCTAGGCAGATGCACTCCGTGGTGGTCCCCAAGGCTCCAGGCAGCCCTCCCACAGCTCAGCTCTTCAGATGACAAAAACCAACTCTTAGCTGGGTTCGGTGGCTCAGCCTGTAATCCCGCGCCTTTGGGAGGCTGAGGTGAGT